ACAAAACCATTTATTCAGATCTTCTCAAAAAGGATCTCGTGATGAATGTCTACAGAGACGGCAAGTTTGGTTCGTTCAGACATTTCGATTTGAGTGACGACCGCCAGAACGAGTCCATAGACACCGAACACGCGTACCTCAATGTGACCACAAGAGGCGATCTGTCGAGTCTGCGCTGGTATGAGGCGCAGCACAAGTACTGGCAATCGCTGCCCACCGCCCACAAGAACCCCAACGAAGTGTTGTGTAGTGTATACTACGCTCCGCTCAACTTCCGCGACATTATGCTGGCGACCGGCAAACTGCCACCCGATGCTCTGCCCGGCGATATGGCTCTTCAGGACTGTATTCTGGGTCTGGAGTTCGCCGGACGCGACCAAACCGGGCGCCGAGTGATGGGAATGGTTGCCGCCAAGGGTTTGGCCACAACCATCGTTGTCGACGATCCGGAATTCTTGTGGAAAATCCCCGACAACTGGACAATGGAAGAGGCGAGTACTGTACCCGTGGTTTACGCCACCGCTTACTACGCTCTGGTAGTCCGCGGAGGCCTTCAGAAGGGCGAGAGTGTATTGATTCACTCGGGAAGCGGTGGTGTCGGACAGGCGGCCATCTCTATCGCGCTGAGTATGGGTTGTGAGGTCTACACCACAACTGGTGGCGAAGAGAAGAAAGCGTACCTCAAGAAGGAGTTCCCGCAATTGACTGACAAAAACTTTGCCAATTCTCGTGACACCAGTTTTGAACAACACATCCTCAGACAGACAGCCGGTCGCGGAGTAGATGTGGTACTCAACTCACTGTCTGAAGAGAAACTGCAGGCCAGTGTCCGGTGTCTCGCACAACACGGAAGGTTCTTAGAGATCGGCAAATATGACTTATCGCAGAACAACCCTTTGGGTAAATGAGTTATTGCTTTATATTATTATTCAATTGACTAATCATTTGAATGCTTTGATCGAAACCATAGGAATGTCTGCTTTCCTCAAGAATATCGCATTCCACGGCATTTTGTTGGACGCATTGTTCGGCCCGTCTTCGTCTCATTCGCCCGGAATTCAAGGCCAGAAGTTGGAGGTCGCGAATCTCGTCTTGGATGGCATCAAATCGGGTGCCGTCCGACCCCTCAAGCGAACCATTTTCAACAAAAATCAAGCCGAAGAGGCGTTCCGTTTCATGGCTTCGGGTAAACACGTCGGTAAAGTGATCCNCAGAAGTTGGAGGTCGCGAATCTCGTCTTGGATGGCATCAAATCGGGTGCCGTCCGACCCCTCAAGCGAACCATTTTCAACAAAAATCAAGCCGAAGAGGCGTTCCGTTTCATGGCTTCGGGTAAACACGTCGGTAAAGTGATCCTTAAGATCAGAGACGAAGAGTCGGCCAAAGTTGTGGCGCCCACTAAATTGGTGGTCAAAGCTCTTCCCCGAACAGCACTTCATCCGCTGAAGTCATATATAGTGACCGGAGGTTTGGGTGGCTTTGGACTCGAACTCTCTCATTGGTTGGTCGAAAGAGGCGCCCGAAAACTNGTCGGCTAAAGTTGTGGCGCCGACTAAATTGGTGGTCAAAGCTCTTCCCCGAACAGCACTTCATCCGCTGAAGTCATATATAGTGACCGGAGGTTTGGGTGGCTTTGGACTCGAACTCTCTCATTGGTTGGTCGAAAGAGGCGCCCGAAAACTAGTGCTCACCTCCAGAAGCGGACCCCGCGATGCATACCAACACTTATGCATTAAACGTCTTCGTTCTCATGGCGTTCACGTGATTGTCTCGAAGGCCGACGCGTCCACACCTGAGGGCTCGACTCAACTCGTGAAGGAAGCCCTTTCGTTAGGACCGGTCGGCGGTATCTTTAACTTAGCGATGGTATTGAGTGACGGATTCCTCGACAACCAAAGCGCCCAATCGTTTAAGACTGTCTGCGATCCCAAAGTGAACGGAACCGTGAATCTCGATAACGTGAGCCGACAGATGTGTCCGCAATTGGATTACTTCGTGGCGTTTTCTTCCGTGAGTTGTGGCAGAGGTAATGCCGGACAAAGTAATTACGGTTTCGCCAACTCATCGATGGAAAGAGTCTGCGAATTGAGACGAAGCGACGGTTTGCACGGATTGGCCGTCCAATGGGGTGCCATCGGAGACGTCGGAGTGGTGTCCGAGAATATGGGCGGAAACGATGTGGTGATTGGCGGTACTCTTCCGCAACGGATCCCG